GAGTCGGACAATGCGTCGGATCTTGGAGCTTTTCGCCGTCTCCGGTGACATTTCCGTTCTGTTGCGGCGGCGGAGGGAGAGCGTGAATCGGAAACAGAAGGTGCAGTGCGTTGCGTTTGCGGGGATGTTTCGGTTGGAAATTTGGGAGAGCCTTAATAAGTACGAGTGTTACCAAATTGCCCTTCGAATTGAAGATATTTACAATATTTCTTTTTTCTTTTTCAGTTACTTTTTGTTCTTGACAGTACCATGGGATTACTGTGCAACTGCAAGCATGAGATCGCCGGAAAAGTCTGCCCCCTCTAGTTGTAGGTATTTACTTTTCTTTTTTCAGTGTAATAACTACGTTTTTTAGTAATGTGGGCCGAAACGGAATCCCCGTTTTTTTCCGTTGAATTATGTTTAAATTAACGTATAGGAATTAGGATATTAAATTTTTTATTTATCAACATTCAACCTTACTAATATTAGTATTAAAGGATTAGAAGTTCGGGTCAAATGAGAAGATATTATTTTACGTGTCATGTTGGTTGTGAGTTAGATTGTTGGATATGGATAATATATTTATGTCATATTATAAACTCGTATTTTAATATTATATTATACGTTTCGTGGAATAAAATAGTTTAACACCATATTACTTATATTTGATCTCAAATGATTAATTGATTTAAAAAAATATATTGGTCTAATCAAGTCTATTGTGATGCTATTCGAAAAGTAAGATATTCATCAAATGATATCAACACATTCTTTCCTCATTAACCATCATTCTTCGATTCAACTACTTATCAACTTGAGTATAATTCAACTGATTAAAACACTTATTTTCCGATGAAAAGATTATGAGTTCGAATCCTACATCTACATGTACTAAATAAAACACTCCTCTCAACCTCAACTAATTATCTCATCAACCATCACAAACAGTCTCCCTCCGACTCGTGTCATTGTGCGATTTCCCAAGCTCATATCTTCACCAATCCCAACAAAACCATGGATTGTTCAATAAATGTCCGACACCATACTTATGTTTCAATGAACCTTCCATTTATTTTATACATGTGTTATTTTTATAGATATTGATATATTAATTGTTCTTTTTTTTTTCCTTTTTTCATTTTGTATTACTTTTTATGGATTCATGGTTCAAAGCAAAAGGTGAAAGTGGCACAATTATTACTATTAATTTGATATTTTATTTTGGGATATCATTTTCCCCCCATCCCATCATCTTTTGTCTGCTAGATTCCCCTTTTCCAAAAAATATAAAATAAAAAATTATTCCTTTACTTGAAATATACATGGTAATATTGATTAAAATGGAAATTAGTTGAAATTTTACCAAATATATTGCTGTGTATCTCTTAAATTGGCACAAGTGTGATTAGACTGCCTAATTTAAATCCAACATTCATTTTTCTGGTCATTTTCATTGCTTTAATTATTAACACGTAACCTTCTCCAATTTTCCCAAAAATAGAAAATGTCCCATAATTTAAAGAATTTAATCTGTTTAATTGTAGAAAATAGATGAGATGTCAACAATTTTTTGTATTATTTCACGTAATCACCATAAATAAGGGACATTATGTCTGCCCAAAAAATTAAATGACTAATTTTCGTGACATGTTACTCCATAGTTGTCCCCTGTTCTTATGCTTTTTCACTTATAAATTCATAGTTATATGATTTTTATTAACATAGTGTAAAATGATAAATGTGAATCTAATTATGGGAGCTAACAAGTTCTCTTTGTCATCAAATAATTTTTCACTTATGCGTTATATGATTTTTGTTGACAACATAAATCAGAAAAAAAAATGATCAGGTGAGGTGGTTCAAATTAAGTATAATTGAAATAAAACATTACTAAAATAAGGGTTTAAAAAAAATGTTGAATTATAACACAAAATTAAAATAAATTTGAGGACTTTAAGTTTGTTTAAAAAATTGTTGAATTATAATCCCTCCGTTTCTTTCCTTCGACAAAAGTTTGTTTTAGAGATTAACACAAAACCACAAAAATTTCTAGTACTGTGGGAGTATCTATTCTCTTTATTCACATTATGATTTTGCCTTTATAAATAATTATTTAATATTGGTGGAAGCAAATTATTTTTTATATGATACAAAATGAATGAACCAAAAATTTTCTCCTTTTTAAGTACATAGAAAGAAAATTATAGATTGCATAGAGATGGAAGGGAAAATGGTTAAAAAGAAAACTCAAAAGACAAAGACCTCACAAAAAGAGGGAGGAAAAAAAGCTTTAGCAAACCCAACAATAAGAGGGGGAAGGGGAAAGTGAGAGTAAAAATGGAATTTTTTATTTATTTATTTTTTTTTTGTAAGTTTGAGGATTTTTGGCCATCTACCACATTTTCGTTTTTTGCTTCTGTTTCCTCCTTTTGAATAAAGAAAAATAAATTTGCATAGCCATGGCCAACACCCAAGGATTCAAGAACATAAAACAAGATTTTTATTTATATCAGTACAAATTGGAAACGATAATAAGAAATAAGAAACTTGTTTTTGTTTTCAAAATTCCTATACAAACTTTAAAATGAGAAACAAGAAACATAAATAGTTGTTAAAGGCTAAGATTTATTAATAAAATTAGAAATTGAAACATTACCCACCAGCTCATTTGTTTCTACCATTATAAGTTTTTCACTTAAGTTAGAAGATATAATTTTTATAATTAAAAGTTTGTAGGTGCAACATCGCTATAATTCATAGATAATTTATGTAATTTATCTAAAAATAAATTAAAATGTATTAATATATCTAGATTAGTTTCAAGTTATCTAGGCAACCAAATGTAACAGGGTCGGGTAATTGTCCCACGAGGAGGTTTTTTTTGGACGGAATGATCTAGCGAACTAAAAGAAAAATTCAAAATGATAATTATTTTGTGGGTTGCAATTTGCATGTAGCATTAATGAAAATGCTGCTTGGCTGTAAAAATGAGCTCTTTTCCAAAAAGGGGAGAGCTTTAACTGCCTGCAATTATTACAGAAATTGAGGCTCTTTTATTTTTTTATTTTTGTTTTTTCTAAATGGGCCCTACGAACAGCCCGTTTAACGGCCCAAATTGCTTCTTTTTTATCTTTCACCATCCGGCCTTGTCCACCCAAAAGTCGTTGCTCTAAATCAACTCAATTCCGACCAAAAGCAAAGGTGATACATGTTTGGTTATCAATAAATACGAGGGATTTTAAAAGGTTGTTTGGTAATATTTTTATTATTTTTTTTATCCTTTTTAATAAAAATATAAGATTACATTGGTAATCATTTCTTATTTGTTTGTTCTTTTTTTATTTTAAAAAAATGAAAATAGTTTGATATGTTTTTGTTCTCTAAAATTTTAGATTAGAAAAAATGATAGAAATTTAATTTTTAAAATTAAATGTTCGAATTTCTTAGGTTATATTTATATATTTATATTTATTTTGTATTTGAAAATACAAATGATAAAATTAATATTTATCTATGTTTTGAAAAAATTGGAAATGAAACAAGTAACTTGATATAGTTGTTTCTAAAATTTCCACACGAGTTTGGAAACGTTTTTTTAATACAAAAGTGAGTAACAGAAACAATTATCAAATGTTTATGTTTCTTAAAAATTAGAAGTGAAAAATTAAGAAACGAGAATGTTACCAACCAAACCCTAATATTCTAAGTAGTCGGTGACAACCATGAATTTGAATTTATTTGTCAAAAGTTGTTTTTACTTTTCCACCGACTTTTAATTTCTATCGGTCTATCCCTTTTTTTTATAATTTTTTTAATCTTTTAATCGAAGATAAGTGCATTAAATTGAACTATGTTTTGATAGGTTAGATAAATTACTTTAATTACATATTTTTAACATGTAATTACAGCTCCATAGGTTTCCATATAATTTAATGGGTTAGTAGGTTACGAAGTTACTGCACACATCACTCGCGGTAAAGTCAACGACTTTCTTCGTAAGTTTGGGGTCAAATCTAATCCTATACATTTATAATGCACTATTCTATTTAAAAGAAAAGAAAAACAAACTTATCTTAATATATAGAGTAGTATAGAAGTTAAATACTACTTAATTAATATGTCTTGTTTATTGGATAGGGTAGATAAAAGCATCTCTTTATTTCATTGAAGTCAAAGTGAAAAGTTTAAATCATTTGTCACAATATTAAAATATATAAATATATCTTATATTTTATATTTGGGGATGAGTTATCTCACATCCACACCCTACCTAACATAGTGTATTCGTCATTTCACTCGAGTTGTACTTGGTGTACTCATGAGGGCATATGTCAAGCTTAGTGTGTTCAAAGTAAAAAGAATAAGATAAAATTTATATATCAGGTTATGGATCGAGCTAAAAATACTATTTGGCCTTTTCGTTCAAGAACACATGTTCAAACCATAATTCAGACAGGCTGAGAATAAGATGGACCAAACGAAGTCACCCATAATTGACTCTGTAAAAATCTAGCTCAATCACAATCTAAAAACAGAGATGTCACAAGAGTAAAATTTGTTGAACACTGGGTACGAAGCGTCAAAATGGCAGTGCAGCGTTTGGTGCAGCACCTGCATTTTGGTAACGCTTCCCAAAGCAAGCTCCCTTACAAAAGATAGAGTTCATTCCTCACAAAAATATGCAACATGTACATAAGGTAATTAAACTCAGCTCCACACTAGCTTGGATTGCATTACAACAACTTTAAAGTAGAGGCAATCTAATACCACGTCATGCAACGTTAATAACAGGTCATCACTAAGTCCATCAACACATCAAAAATAAAATGATAATTGAAGATTAAAAATCCATAGGTAAGATTTGGGCAAAAATAATTGAGACTATAATCACAATTAAATCCAAAACATCTCTTCTCTCTCTAGTCTCTGCAATTACACAAGCCGTAGCCGTACGAATCCATACCCTCGAAAAAGCTTGGAGCGCGCGAATCCGAATCCATTTCAGCCCAACAAAGTAGAAAATTTCATCTTGGGGAATCAAATTTCAAGATGCCGCATCTCCTCCAGCAAATTCATCCTCACCCCTACCACTCCCCACTCAAACTTTCATCTTCCACACGCCCCTTTCAATTTCAACCTCCGCCGCCATGGATTTCCTCCCCGAATCCCATTGCCCTCCTCCGCCCCCGTCCGGTGACGGGCGGCGCAACCATTCGGTGTATGGCCAATTCCCGGAGAGTCAAAATGGTGGCCAAGCAGATTCAGAGGGAGCTTTCCGATATGCTTCTCACCGATAAGGTGTTGCAGTACGCCATCCTTCCCGAGGCCTCTTTGGGAGCGGATAAGTACCTCTCCTCTCTCACCACCATCACCGATGTTGAAGTCTCTGCCGATTTGCAGGTATTTTCGATTTCGGAAATTCTGCAATTCATGAGCTGAGCAGGATTGATTTCTCTCTTTTTTTGCTATTATTGTGATTTTTTGTAATGGGTAGCAGAATTTGAAGTGTACGGACTAAAGGGTGCTTTTATACCTGAAAATGACTGTAGAAATGAATATTGTCTCTGAGATTTGCACTATACTGAAGAGGTGCATTTGTTGAAGAGAGGGGATTTTTTAATCGAAATTTAACTTGATAGATTGCTATATGGTTCAATTGCTGGTTGCATCTTAGGTTGTGGGTATTGTGTAGTTTAGCCACTGGGAAATGAAATGGTTAGAGGCTTCACCCCATTTGGAGATGTTTGGCTTTGGTCGAAGACATTTTTGACATAAGTTATTTGAAGCACAACTTATGAAGTATTTGAAATTTTTACTGCAAGGATTAGACTTTTGCGGAATGTATAGAAGAGATCTACTGAGAAATCATATGCTTGAAAGTTGAAAGTTCACTTTAGCCTTGATAGATAAGCACTGCCATGGCATTTATACCAAAGAGGCTAACAATGGAAGTTCATTGATATGTTTTTCTTTTAAATGCCCTCCATTCGAGAACAATCCATATCACTCTTACTTCAAGAACTTGAAGTGTGGATTGTGTGATGAAATTGTGGTTTTTGATCGATTTTGAATTTATTCAACATTGCCTTATTTTTTCCATATAGCTCTTCTCCTTTAGACAGTTCATGAGTTCCTATGCAATTTAGGTAGCATGTGGATGTGTATGTGTTCAATAAACTTAGGGTGGGTATGGTATATCTTTTTAATTTAAAAACTTTTTTTTTTTGCACCATTTTATGAGTTATCATCTCTTAGGTGCTTAAACTACAAGTGTGTCAATCACTTTAAAATAACTTTTTAGACAATCATGTGTCTGAGTGTTTCTTCAAAAATGTATTTTAAAGTAATCCAATTTTTTAAAAACTGTTCTATCACCAAACACGGTGGATTTTTTAAAAGTAGTATACTATATTAAACACACTTTAAAGTAGTAATTATTTCAAAGGTGTTCAAAGAAACAGTGCTTCTTTTTCGTTTTGGTTTATTTCTTGGGCATTTTTTCCAATACCTCAACTGATTAGTAATTGTTGTTTGTTATCTCATGAATACTGATACACAGGTGGTTAAAGTATATGTATCTGTCTTTGGTGATGAAAGAGGAAAGGATGTTGCTATTGCTGGATTGAAATCAAAAGCTAAATATGTCCGCAGTGTATTGGGAAGGCGAATGAAGCTTCGGCTAACTCCCGAGATACGTTTCATAGAAGATGAATCTTTCGAAAGAGGAAGCAGGGTAAATAAAATCTTTATGTTTTTGCTTCTTGTACAACTTCTATTTCTCTGGCTGGAGGCCAGGTCAATTACTTATAACTTAAAGTTCTATGTTTATCTTATTGTTAAGATTTCCTTCCACAAGATGTTTTTTGTCTCATTTTCTTCATTTTTTTCCATTGCACATGTTTCCAATTTTTTGGTACAAGGATGCTGTGACAATAAGTGGGTTTTTTGCCTTACAAACTTTTGGTTTATCGTCCATTTCCTATTGAAATATCTCTTAGAAGTTCTGGAAATGTCATAAATATGGTTTTTGGAGAGTGCAATGGTGACCCGACTAGTAAGGGCTTAGGATTTTTGGAGTTTCTCTCCAAGGTTTTGGCTTCTAGTCTCTCTATGGAAAACTTAATAATTTAAGATCCTTGTTGTCTCTCGAAAGTAGCCACAAGTTGGTGAATCTCCTTTGGGATTAGTGGAGTCGGGTCACGGGCATTATGAAAAGTGTAGAGCTTTGCTCCCTATATGCAATGGGTAGGCTTTTCTTGGGAAGAAAGGACTCATGTCTGAAACTCATGCTATTATTGCCTGTGAAAATTTCTGTGTCTTATGATATGAGCGATGTACTTTTTTGTTTGAACTTTTCCAGGTGATTGCCATATTGGATCGGATCAAGGATGAAAAGAAAGACACCGAGCTATCCGAATTATCCAATACTCCTCAAGACGACAGGGACTGGGAAGGGGATGATGCTGATGAAGACATAATATATGTACAATAGGTTGCTCCATTTCTTGTCCCAATTTGTGCTCATCTGTGCTGAGGCATCGGCTTACTCTCACAGGTTCGCTATGTTACGAGTTTATGTTGTTGTCTTAGTCTTACATGTTAGATATACTAAATTAGTCTTGCCAGAGCTCACTTCTCGGGTCCAAAATTCATTGTTTTCAGGTATATAATCAATCCTCTGGTGATATCTTTTGTCATGAAAACTTTGGGGCTCGTCAATGTTAGAAAAAGGTTGAAGTGATATAGCTATGCCTGTCATTTTGATTCCCATCAAGTTTATCTGGGTAGTCATGTGTTATTTTGATGGTGGGATGTTCTTCATTTTCAATTTTTTTTAAATTAATTTTGTTGAATATCATTTTCTTTGTTTTCTAATATACTTTTTGTGAAAAGAATTGTAAAATTTTAAACCAAATTTCACAAACTAAAAAAAGTATGGATGACTCCAGTTTTTTTCTTCTAAAACTATTGTTTTGCAAACTAATCTTTTGAAATTTTAAGAACTATATGGAATGATATTTCTTATCATCGTATTTCCTCTCTATTCATTTTAAGGTTTAAATTTTATTTTAGTCACGGTATTTGGTTCATTTTGGTCTATATACTTTTAAAACGTTCAATTTAATCTTTGTATTTTTTACAAGTGAACATTTTGGTTCATATTTGCAACACAAGTTTTATACACCATGAAAATTCTTTAATACAAATTCATTGGATAAAAACGAAGTTGAAGGGACAAAAACCACCACTTTTTAAAAGTACAAAACTATAGTAGACATTTTGGAACATGAACAAAAGTTGAAAATACAGCCACTATAGTAGACATTTTGGAACATGAACAAAAGTTGAAAATACAGCCACTAAAATTAATTATTGTTTTGAAAAATGTTTCTAGAAATTATTAGAGCAAATAAATTTTGAAGGCTATGTTATTTTGCAGAGTAAGAAATGAAGTAAAGATGCTCCAAACTCCACCAAAATTCCTCTGCACTCAGAATCTAACCAGCCAAATATCTTTTTATCATCAAAGATAATAGATAAGAATTTAAATCTTGATGTCATTTCGTATTAATATTTATGATTTTAAATATTTCGTTGATATCTTCAAAGAAAATAAATTATTTCTCTTCAACATCGGTATCGAATCTAATGTTGTTGATGGCACAAAATAAAAGGGTGTTTTTTGAGCATCTACTTTTTTTTTTGGAATGGTTGAATTTTAATTCTCTTTTTTTAATTTTTTAATTTTTGGTCATAGGGAATTAAAGCTGGAAAAGATAAGAACCTTTCAATTTATTTATTTATTTATTATTATTATTTTGACAATAAGAACCTTTTAAAATTAGACCAATGAGGAAAGTTTATCGATATGGAAGAAAATATATAGTTTTAAGTTAGTTGATATTTATTATAGGGTAAAGTTCAATTTTAGTTTGAACTTTAAATTTTTAATTTTATCAACTTAAATCCTGAAGTTTGAATTATTGTTGCAGCTAATACGTTTCCAAAATAAAATCTAAGAATTATTCATGAACCAACTAATGGCAATATTTAACTACTCCAATTTAGCCACAAAATAAATTGGATAAATGTAGTAAAAGAAACCAAACAAAAACGCTCCAATCATTTAATTTAAAAGTATCTAACACAATTAAAAAAATCAATACTTTCAAAATTAATCTCATCCAACTATGCCAAAAGCTAGTTACAAATCTTTAAAAAATAATGAAAAGTTAACTAACCTAGTGTATTAAATTGGATCATTTATTCAAATTCAAGATCTAAATTGACAAGCTAAATCGAATATAACTCAGGTGGCTAAGGCACCCATCTCTAACCAAGACGTTATCTAAATTGACAAAATTACAAGTTTAAGACTGAAAATGACTTATTAGAAAGAGGTGTCGAGTTGAGCTATCCTCAAATGGGCACGATAAAAATTAATGAAGAAATCATGAATCATATAAACCTAAAAAATCACAAAGGTCTCTATAGATAAACCCCCCAAAAAAATTTACTAAATGCTSTCATTGAGAGTTGAACTTAAGACCTCCCACCTACTAAACGGGTGCTTGTAATTTAATTCATTTAATAATTTTAATTATTTTGCATTACCTTTTTCTCCAAGCTATCAAACATATTAGTTTACTTAAATTATAAAAATTTCGATTACCTTATGATTATGATTATTTAAAAATTGATGTGAAATATGTTGATTAAATTAATATGTAATGACTTCATAAAGGTAGTAATTAAACTATGCTCTTGTTAAGAGTCGAACTCAAGACCTCCCGCTTACTAAACGGGTGCTCTAACCAACTGAGCTACAAGAGCTATTTGACAGTTAACTTTTTGTTATCTTATTCATCTAATAATCTTAATTATTTTGAATTATCTTTTTTTTTCTCCCTATCAGACATCATAACTCAGCATTAATTGTTATATATATAAAGTGTTAGTTTATTAAATTACCCGAACTATCAAATTTTCAATTACTTTATGATTTTGATTTTAGTAGATTTCTTGATGCTATTGACATTGTTATTTAAAAATTGATGTGGCATACATGTTGATTAGACTAATATGCAATGACTTGGCTATCACTTTGCTTTTGTTGAGAGTCGAACTAAAAGACCTCCTGCTTACTAAACGGGTTCTCTAACCAACTGAGGTACAAGAGGTGCTTGAAAAAATAATAATTGAGCTTTTTAATTAATAATAATAATAAAATCACTATGAGACCATCTCAAAAAACTTCAACTATTAAATAATTCAGATTACATGGCTCTTTTTTTCAAAAATATTTAGTTTTTTTTTTTTTGGCATAACTAAATCTTATCGTCACCATTTAAAATTTAATATATATATATATATATATATATATATATATATTACATTTTTCTTTTTTAATTATCAGATAATAAGATTTTGAGTGCCAAACATTTTCCTGTTAGAGATTTAAATTTAATATCAATCTCATATTGGATATACTCAAAAGAGGGAAAAAGACTATGAAGAAAAAATAATGCCTAATATGATTTGGATAATCATTCCTACATAAAACAATGTGATATGACCATAATTTGATTTTTATTTTTTTTTTCAAAATCTTCAATAGTCAAAAAAAGTCATATTTATTCATAAGACTCAACTAAAAATTTTAAAAAAGAAAAAAAAAACGTTAAACACGTATAAAAATGTAATTAATTTATACAAAACTAACCTAAATGGAAAGGAAACGGGACACTCTTTAGAAAATTATGTAAAAGTTTTTAGATATTTCAAAATGGAACATACCCATACATATGGAATATTCTCTCTTTTAAATTACTAGCTCCTTAATCACTATCATAGCAACCCAATTATTCTGATTATCAAAATTCTCCAATTGTGAGTAGCATGCTTTTTTTTAGGTTAAATTATAATTTTTGTCCTTTAATTTTTATGTTGCAGTCAAAATTGATAATTCACACAAACATTCTTTAATTTTTAAAATTTAACAATTTATTAGACACAACACTGAAAATTGAGAGATTTTGGATATTTTCTTAAATTAAAGACCTCGAACGATCTTTATTTTATTTTGTACTTATAAACAATTTAAAATTGTCTCATTTTCTCTCTGTAAAGGAAGGAAAAGATGGTATGTGCATATATTTGCATTTTGTTGACCATATAAAATTGTTTTGTTTAGCTTTTGGAGAGTCATACCTCATGAATCATGATCATTGAATTTTTAAGGATAAAACTTGTTTAAAATATAAAATTCCCACAATTTAGTTATTCATATAGTTTATTTAATTAGCTTTAAATTTGATAAATGAGAGATTGGATAAGTGGGTGGGAAAGGCATCTACTTTGTTTAATTAGTAGTTATCAACAAGTATTATTCCAAAGTCTTAGGTGTGATATGATGGGGGAAAATCCAAATTTCTACTCAATAGCATAAATAAGTTATAAAATAATAATAATAATAATTCAGTAGTTTCTAAATTTTCAATTATTTTATTGAAAAATAGTTTATTTTCAGAGACAAATTATTTTAATTTAGATGGCTATTGTACTTCCAATTTTTATTTATTTTAGTTTATGTGCATTAAAGACATTCACTTTAGTAATTTTTTAAAATAGAGACAACAAAAAATTATAATCAGATATGTTTTGAAGAATAATTTAAAGAGAGTAATTAAATTTATTTTCTAAGAATTAAAAAACGTTACTAAAAAAAGGTTATCAAATAGAATCTTACTAATGATGAACATGTCAACGAATTTTTTTTTTATTTAGAAAAATATTCTTCTTAGTTCTAACTTCTGAATTAACGAAAAGTTTGTTATTAATAAATTCCCTTTTCGTTATTAGGATAATGCACCAATCAAATCTTTATCATCTTTTTTCTCTCTAGAAATTATATTTTAAGTAGTGCATCTCCAAAACGTAAAGGGAACTAATTATTTAAAATATTTTAAACGTCTTTGTCAAACGTGATTAGAAAATTGAACATGATGGCAAGTAAGAAAAACATTTTTTTTCTTTGACAGACTGTAAGAATAAAATAAAATAAAATATGTTATATTTACTTCAACTTGATGGCAAGTAAGAAAAATAATTTTTTTTCTTCACAAAAATTATTAGTTGAACTCCAACCATACAAATTCACATCCCAAATTAAAATTAAATATTTAATTTTTTTTATTATTAATCTATTATTCAATTAATATTGATCAAATTTCTTTGTTAACAAGTCAATAGGTAATAAAGATCAAATTTTGACGAGTTATTTGTTATTATGTAGCAGAAGTTTTATTATATGTTACTTTATTTTGATTAGGTAGAGATTTCCCGGGGTTAAAATTGAGTAGATTTTGAAACATTATTTTGATTAAAATGTAATAAAAAAGATTAATTTTATTTTAGAATGTTATAGATAATATAGTTGCACTTGTGTTATTTTCTAAGAGTACAACACAAAATAAATCATCAATGCCATCTACATTCTGATAAACTTTTATGATATTAAACAGCTGAAAAAAACAAAAAATAATAATAATAAGTATACAAATGAAAGTGAAATTGAAGTTTAATAATAAATACTAAAAAAGTAATTTATTCCACGTCAGCTTCGAAAAGGAAAGGAATCTCCACGTCAGAATTGTATTTTTTTTTTCTTAGAAAAAACTGTTGAGTGTCTGAAAAGACTAAATTAAATACAATTATTTCATAATCGGTGTAATACTTTATAATTTAATTGAAATTTATGGAGTACTAAAAAAAAAGAACTTTATGGTATTTTAAAAAATTGAAACATATGTAACATTATATGATTAAAATAACAGTAAAATTAATTAAACTATTTATTATTTTTCAGAAAAAATAAACTATTTATCATTTTTAAATAAATTAGGAAAAATGTCATTCCAAAAACTATTCTTCGCAATATTATTATCAACATTTTCTTTTACTTTTATAGTACTAAAATGAAAGTTAAATGAGTTAAAATTAAGGGCTAAAACATAATGTTTACTTCAAATATTAATATTGTTTAAAGGGTAAAAATCATGACAACGCAACTTAGTATTTAAAGAAATTATATTGTTATTATAAATCACATAATGCTTCGGTCGTCACCATTATTTATATATTGTATATTAAAAGTTAAGAGTCAAAGCTGAAATTAAGGAGAAGGCAAAAAAAAGACGAAATTAACCAAACTGGTTGTTACCAATTATATCTCGATTTAATTTTGAAATATAGCTAAAAATATATCTAAATCAAATTTATCTAAATGTAGTACCCATCAATGGACATGAATTATAAAAAAATAATAAATAATAAATAAAAAAAAAATTGTGAGATAGAACTGACATCCATCAACCATAGAGCGTGGAGCTCTTTATTCTGACTCCCTGACCACCAAATTTTAGTTTCCCCATTCAGAGCGCCAATTCTTTTTTCTTCCCTCCAATATATTTTTTAGTAAAAATTAAAATACATTTTTGGTACTAAATTTTGAATTTAATCACTATTTGGTATTTTTATTTTTTAAATCATCACTTTTTGCTTCTATTTGATTCTGAAATTAAAAATTTTGAATTTAGTTTTTTTTTTAAATGAAAATTAGTAATTTTTATGATTAACTACAAAAGTGATCAAATTTTTAAATGCTAAAACCACCCAACTTGCAAAAAGGATCAATTTTTACATTTGTAAAAGTAATTAGCTATCCTAGTTAAATTAGAATTTGCTGGTATGTTTTAACGATAATGTAAAAATAACACTGAACAATATCTATTTTTATTCATAAATTTTGTAAATAATTATATTACTATTATTTTAGAATATTATATTACATTGGTGACTAGAAATAGAAAATACAGTATGTCTCATCACTTTTTTTTTATAGAATAATGTCTAATTACTTGAATTGTACTTAAATCGACTACTAAAACTGTTCCGAAGATATAGATATCATATATCCATTTAGATAAAAAGTAATATAATATAAAAAATGATAATATATTTGATATATTTTGACAATTGTGGATTAAAGGTAGTTTTTAGTGTATAATTATATATATGTGGCAATAAATATTTTTTTATATTTACTAATAAGGTACAAAATTCTAGTATACATATGTGCATGAAAAGTTCCCAAATTTAGCTAAATAATATAGCTTTTGAAAATAAATAAAAGAGTAAGATTTTTTTTCCATAAAAAAAAAACAAAACAATGGGATGCCCATGCCGGATGGATTTAAAAAAAAAAAAAAGATTAAAAAAAGGAAAAAATTCAAATTTAGCATGAAAGTGACACATTTGTGAAGAAAAATGTTTATTGGATAAACAATTTCCACAAATAAGTTTCTTCCACGCAAGATTTTATCCTGATATTGAATAAAAGCACATTTTGTTTTTATGAAAGTAAATTACTTCTTAGAATAAGAGAAATCCCATTAAGGTAAAATTCTAATATTCTCTATTTTCATTCGTAAAGAAAATCTTTCTTTTTAAACCAAAACACATATTTGAAATAGAAATACCATCCAAAAAGGAGCGAATTCATTGAATTTGGCTCATATAATGGATTTTATATATACACACAACATTATCAATTCACTTCTTTTATTTTTCTTAAACAACCATTAATCTAAAATCTTCTTTTATGGCCTTAAAACTTTCAAAGTATTAAAATTATTAAACTTTCAAGTTTCCAAATAAAATCAGTTCTACGTGATTGAATAACAGCAACGATCAAAACGATTATTTTTGTAGAGTTCAAATGTCAAGATAGTTATTTTCTTTGGGTTGAAGTATTGAAAATAATATTTTAAAATTTTAAAGAGCCAAACAAAGATTTACCCAAATGAATGGATATAAGAAAACAAATGTTAAAATATTATTTTGGTCATTATACTTTTAGCAATGATCCATTTTAGTCTCTATATATTTCAATGTTCATTTTGGTTCACGTACTTCTAATTTTGGTTAATTTTGGTCATTGTATTTTCAGAAAGTGACAATTTTAGTTAGTATCTATAAAATTTATAAACAATTGAAACTATTTAATATGAATTTATAATTACACTTTAAAAAATATATTGAATATAGTATAGTATTGAAATCTTGGTAGAAAAAAATGAGATAAAAAATAAAATAAACGGATGAAACAGGTGAGAAGGACGAGAATGAATATTTGAACGATCAAAACCAAACAAAACTAAAAATAAAAATAACAAAATAACATTTTAACCAAAAAGAGACAAAAAAGAAAGAAAGAAGTAAATTAAAAGGATCCTTGAAAGTCCAAAAACCTAGACCCCCGCGGTCCACGTACGCCACCGTCTTCCCTTCCCCTATCTCTTCTTCTCAAGTTCTGAAGCTCCTCCTCCCATGGCCATGGCTGCCACCACTCTCAATCTCCCTTCTCTCTCCTCTTCCTCTTCCTCTCTTTCTAACCCATCTCCCTTCCCATCTCAATCCCCTCTCTCTCTCTCTATCAAAACCCTAAACCCAAAATCCCATTCCCTCTCCCTCCCCCATCTCCGCAAGCCCCCTCTTCTCGCCTCGGTCAAAAACCCCATCTCCGACGTCTTCTCCGCCGATGACGACGACGAAAAGCCACGCGAGGAGTGCGGCGTGGTCGGAATCTACGGCGACCCGGAAGCCTCTCGCCTCTGCTATTTGGCTCTCCATGCCCTCCAGCACCGCGGCCAAGAAGGCGCCGGAATCGTCTCCGTCAACGATAACGTCCTCCAATCCGTCACCGGCGTCGGCCTCGTCTCCGAAGTCTTCAATCAAACCAAACTCGATCAGCTCCCCGGCGATTCTGCTATTGGCCATGTCCGCTACTCCACCGCCGGTTCCTCCATGCTTAAGAATGTCCAGCCCTTTGTTGCGGGCTACCGATTCGGCTCCGTTGGGGTTGCCCACAATGGTAATTTGGTTAATTATCGTTCCCTTAGGAATAAGCTTGAGGACACTGGTTCCATTTTCAATACTAGTTCTGATACTGAGGTTGTTCTTCACCTTATTGCGATTTCTAAGCATAGGCCTTTCTTGTTGAGGATTGTGGATGCCTGTGAACAGCTTGAGGGGGCTTATTCCATGGTTTTTATTACTGAAGATAAGTTGGTTGCTGTTCGTGATCCTTTTGGGTTTAGGCCTTTGGTTATGGGTAGGAGGAGTAATGGGGCTGTTGTTTTTGCTTCTGAAACTTGTGCTCTTGATTTGATTGAGGCCACATACGAGAGAGAGGTGTTTCCTGGTGAAGTTTTGGTGGTTGACAAGAATGGGATTCAATCCCTCTGTTTAATGGCCCACCCTCAGCCAAAATCTTGCATATTTGAACACATTTACTTTGCTCTCCCAAACTCTGTAGTCTTCGGGCGATCGGTGTACGAATCCCGCCGAGCATTCGGGGAGATACTAGCCACCGAAGCCCCTGTCGACTGTGATGTTGTGATTGCTGTTCCCGACTCTGGAGTAGTGGCTGCTCTTGGCTATGCAGCCAAGGCTGGTGTGGCCTTCCAACAGGGGCTCATAAGGTCTCACTACGTAGGCAGGACATTCATAGAGCCATCGCAGAAGATTCGTGACTTCGGCGTGAAGCTGAAGCTGTCGCCGGTTCGAGCAGTGTTGGAAGGGAAGAGAGTAGTGGTGGTGGATGACTCCATAGTAAGAGGCACCACATCTTCAAAGATTGTGAGGCTGATCAAGGAAGCAGGGGCAAAAGAAGTGCATATGAGGATAGCCAGCCCTCCAATCATAGGGTCATGCTACTATGGAGTGGACACACCAAGCTCAGAAGAACTGATCTCCAACAGGCTGAGTGTGGAGGAAATAAGAGAGTTCATAGGGTCTGATTCACTTGCTTTTCTGCCATTTGATAGCTTGCAGAAGCTTTTGGGTAGTGAATCTCCAAACTATTGCTATGCTTGCTTTTCAGGGAATTACCCAGTTGAGCCCAGAGAGATAAAAGTGAAAAGGGTGGGAGATTTTGTTGATGATGGCTTGAATGGGAGCTTGGAATCCATTGATGGAGGATGGGTTAAAGCCAGCAGAAACCAAAATCTTGACAATCATCTCACAGTGGAGAAACTTGTTGGGGGCCTCTGATGAATCCTTTAATATCTCAAATTTTAATTAACCTTGCTATTTTGCCTCTGTTTTCTCTTATATCCTTCATAGTTTTTAGAATTACGATACGGGTGGTTTCTGATGGGAAAAAGCAAATGCATCATTTAGATTAATAAGTTTTATGTAATGATTATTGGGCTGCATAAGAGAATACTCTTCTGCTAAGTTTTTTATTATCTGTTACTCGGAATGGAATGTTGTATGGTCTAACGGTTGTTCTCTAGAATAAGAGTTCTGGGGTTCTGGGGTTAGGGTCCGCTCCGACCAGGACACCTATAGTTATTAAGAAATAATAATAGTAACAATAAAAGTGGAGACAAGTTACTGAATTTTCTTTGACAGAGTTGGGAGAATTTACCAAATATGGTTTGATTTTCATGTTTTTTTTTTTATTTTTTTGCCTTTTAAGGCATAGATTTTCTTGGTTGTGTGTAGATTCTTTTTTCCTTTTAAAATATTTTGAGCAATTGCTCGCTTTACTATTTTCATGATCTTTGGCTCGAAATAAATATGTATTTACAATTTTCATGATCTTTATAGTCTTAGCAAATGGGTGCGCCTTTTTTTAATCTTTTTAGAATATATATATATATATATATATATATATATATGTATATTTTTTTTTTTGTGGGTTTCTGATTTTCGGTAGAAAAATGGCTCTTGATGGAAGTTTGTTGTATTATTTTTTGGCAATTTAATGTAAAGGCTATGGAATGTTCTATTTAGATATCACAGCAATAATTGTGGGATTTGGATTTTTTTTTTAAAAAAAGGAACGAAATATTACAACGTTCGTGTCAGTAATTAGTTCTTTGTCAAAAAAAAAAAAAAATTAACAATAATAATAAATAAATAATATATATATATTTTTTGTTTACTTCAAAAAGGTAGATTTTAATGTTAAAAGCATCAATTAAATTAGATTGAATGATGATATTTTACACATGAAACAACCTGAGAAAGTATCGTTTTGAAGATTTTAAGTTGAAAAATTATTTTAAAAAACTGTCAGAAGTGGGATTTGAACCCACGCCCTCTCACGAAGACCAGAACTTGAGTCTGGCGCCTTAGACCACTCGGCCATCCTGACTTGTTGATACTGATTAATTTTATTTTATATTTTAAATAGTGATTTTCTTATCCAAGACTTGGCACAGAGCTGTAGTTTTGTTTAACAGGCTGAATACCGAACACTAACTTTTTCTATTTTAACATTTTCGTTTACTACCAACTCCAAATAAGACAGACTTCTTCAATATACTAACGAATTAAAAGGTTTTGAACTTTTACTTGATGATAACGTGATTATATGCGTAACTTCGACTTCAATACTCGGAAAAAAGAAACAAACATATTACAATAATTTGTCATAGTTGTTTAGCACAACCAAACAAATGAGAGCAAGCAAAATTCTATTTAGACCATCACATGCAAAGAGATTTTACCTATGTTCATCTTTGCATTTTGCACATGGAGCAAATATCTACCACATGGGGACCAAGATTTTGCACAAAGATTCCTCTTGCATGGAGTTTTTTTTTTAATTTAAATGTTATATATGAGTGTGTGTTTTTATAAATCATGTCACTATATAAAGTGAAAATTTCTATGCATAAATCTACAATAAAATATAAGTTATTGTGTACTATTGAGAAAACAGCTAAATTTTCAAAGAAAAATGTTTCTTTGAAATTGAAACCTATCTTGTATTTTACTAGAAGCTCAATCTTTTATGTTTTACAAGAATGGTTTGTGAAATTGGAAGACACTTTTGACCCAAACCATAGGTATCATGGGCCTACTCTACAAATTTGTTTAATTATCTTGTCTAAACTGGCCCATCTTAGACCATCATGGGCTAATATTTATGGGCTTGGGCCCATCCTAAACTGGCCCATCACAAGGACCTCATAATCATAACATTGCTTCTGCTCAATCAATGATGTGAACAGTTTGGTTTCTTTATTTATGAGAGACATTCTTCAAATATTATCTTTCAGTTCTGGATTACAAACACACTGTAAAATTTAAAATCATTAAATAATTTTATAAATATTTATATTAAAGAAAATCTTTAAGTGAATTTTTTCGTGGCTTGTTATCCTTATTATTTATTAAAAATTTTTTTGAATGAATAATTTGAAATTTTCCACTTATGAGTTTCTTTTTAGTTAAAAAAAAAAATAGTGGACATTGGAAGATATGACCTCAAAGGAATAATTTAATGTCTCAACTTTTTATTTTTCTAGTAAAACATATTTTGGCAACTGTTTCTTGTTTCTTTTTTTTCCCCTCTTTTTTAGGTATAAGTGTGGAGATTCGAACTCACGAACTTTTGATTTGAAATATATGTCTTAACCAGTTCAGCTATCTCAGGTTGACAAATAAAACTTTTATTTATGTTTTTCAAAAGAACGAAAATAAGAAACAAGACATAATTATATTGTTTCCAAAATTTATACAGAAATTTGGAAAAGTCTCTAAAAATGATAAAAGAGAAATAAGAACAATTAATAAATACTTTTTTTTAAAAAAATTAAAATGAAAAACGAGAACGTTACTAAAAGGATACTTTAACTTCTTAACTTCTTCAGCGCGGTGGTTGAACCGATCGAATAGTTTAGAGATTCATACAAAATTTTTTAATGTTTCATTTTTAAGTCATTATTATTTGTCCTAAGAAGGGTGTAAAATGTGGTCTCCATTCAGCTCATTTTAGTGGGTTCTACAACCTTTTTCCATGTAATATATTATACTTTTTTTTTTCTTTCTATTATTTTGAGAGTCATACGTGGCAATTTAAAATTAATTTTCATTCAAAACATAAATAAAAACTCATTTAAAATAATGTTGCAGAAGAGTCGCTATAGAATTGGGTGCGTAATCAAAAAGGGCATTGGGGAAAACAATAAAAAATTATATCCCAATCATATAAAAATTGTACACACACACAAAAATAATAATAAAAAATTAGGTCATGTGGTTGATGAGATCAAAAAATTAGGTAATATTCGATCCCCAATTTTGAATTTCTGATTCCCTTTTGTTGGTATTGGAAGTTGGAACCCTTAAACTACCTTATCTCTGCGACACCCTCATTATTTTTAAATCAAAATGAATTCAATTACGATTATTGATGCGAAAATTTGCCGAGGCACAGAAAAGGATTTGGGAGGTCGGTCGGCTGTACTTAGAGCGAATTCTTGAGTACCTGCAATGAGGTAAACTACTCCGACGTCCAAATCAGTAGGTAATCTGAGCTTAATAGATATGCTTCAGATAGATTTTCATATCTGGACTCGTGATGTGATTGTGTATTTATAGTGGTCAATGGGGCAGATAGCTGTCCCATCCAGACATTTCCCTGCTCATGTCAGGCTCCTCTAACCGACCTTCGGTCTATGCTTCAGATCGGTCCTTCTTATGCTCTCGGAAAAATGAATCCTCGGTGTCTGGTTCGTTTCCTAAATACCCGACGCCGAATTGTTAGGTCGGCCTCTTTGGAATTCCTCGAATAGGTTGGCCACACACAGTTTGACCCCAACAATGATGTTATTTCTTTAGCTTTGTTTACATGTTGCTTACTAATACCGTTTGAAATTGAAATATGAATAAGATATATTATAATTATTAAAATACTATTTTCTTATCTGTAGCTAATTATAAATATATTAACTTAAAAATGTGTTAATATTATTTTTAATTAAAATAATGATAGATTTTAACTTCTTTTATTACTATTTTAGTGAGAGTAAATATTTTTTTATTATAACAATTTATTTAATATTAACAAATAATGAATAATTAAAAATAAAATTACATCAAATACAAAATTTGTTAGAACAACTATCATTAATATATAATATTATTAAGCTTTGTTATAGTATTTAATAACAATCTATTTTAATAATTTTATTATTATTGATTCATAATAAAACGTGTAATATTTTAATTAGTTGTAAAATTTCCCAACTTGTCTTTAACTTATTGTTATCACTCAACATCCTAATATTTTCTTATTAAATCGATAATATACATCAATAAATACGAACTCTTAATAAGAACAAAATATAATATACATTTCTTATTAAATCGATAAAATACATCAATAAATACGAATTCTTAATAAGAACAAAATATAATATACATCACTAAATACGAACTCTTAATAAATACATTATATATTCTAAAAGATACAAAGATATGATCTTTAAATGGAATTTCATATTTTGAAAAGATTAAATTTATCCAAATATAAGAATCTTAGTTTATTGTACAAATTAATATATTGTTTTCTCTTTTTAGAACTTCACATTTATAAATAAAGAGAAATGATTCAAACATACCAGAATTACGATCCCACAATGGGAGAGAGACACCTCTACTCGAAAACACTCATGGAAGAATACACGGGTGTCTATCTAGAACTATATTTAGGTCGCTGATATTGAATACTTGAACTACGTTTAAGTTTGGTTATAACTCAACCATTGAGATATTTGTATCTTTTTTCAAAAATCCATGTATTCAAAATTTCACCTCAGTTTGTAATATGATATACATATTATAAAAAAAAATTTGACGTTGAATTCAACAATATGTATAGGGGTGGGGGATTCGATCCTCCAACCTTTTAGTCAAAGTTACAATACCTTATGTCAATGTTAATTCTACACTTAGTACCAATCTATATATTAATGATGTATTTCTACAAGTCTAAGACGCAATTAGTTAATCAACTAGTTAAGGTACTTATTTTCGACCAAAAGATCATGAGTTTGAATCACTATCTCCCACACGTCATAATATATATATATATATAAAAAAAGAAATTGGCTCGATTTATTATGGCTTTCCAAGAAAACAAGGGACGGGGCAGCCGTTAATGGCCTCTCAATCTTAATCGTACTTTCCCTTTTCTATGGGGTCCATTCCAATGTCTGCAAACCCTATATTTTAAATTACATCTACAAAAACTTGCCAGAAATTTGTCCCTAATTTGTTGGACAAAATTAAAATTATGAAATTATATTTTAAAACACACATGTTTGATAATTTGAATAATACTACCTCATTCGAGTATAGTTTAATAGATGAGATACTTAATATCATCATCTCAAAGATTGATATTATAAATATATAACTCTAAATTTATGAAGACAATTGTAGGGATCACTATAATTCATAATGGTGACATAAGATAATTAAAGTAGATCCTCCTTTGCTTATACTAAGTCTAGTTGTGTTCTTTTCATTTTTTCTCTAAAATAAAATAATATGTGGCACAAGTGGATAGCGTAAGACATTGAAGAATGACATATATGAGAGG